TTTAATTATATTTTAAAAATATGCTTCCTGTCTAGGCCTTTCAACTTAGATGCACAAAATTACTATTCAGACATGTTATCTTATAAATATTTAGATTCTACAGTTACACTTGAAATTGTCATAAGTCCTAAATCGATAATCTGAATACATAAATGAAGAAAAAGAGTTGGCTGCATTTTATCATTATATTTACACAGGATCAGAATGTGCATAAATCCCATGTTCTCCTCCTTGCTGGAAGCACCTATGTAAAAAATTACCACAATCTTCACTCCTAATATCTTATTGCTTTAAGAAATTTTGCATTTAGCAAAAGCAATTGTTTTTCTCTTCTTCCCTGTTTCATGCATGGAGCACAGCACCTCTCCAGCCCGCTCTTTGCTCAGTCTCAGGAAATCTTCGTGAGGGCACAGCTTGAGGGTATCTGTAGGTTCTGCTGCCTCAGGTGGCCCAGTCTTGGTATTTGGAGGAGCTGGAGGATATATCACATTATATAAGTTTTGATTACTGCCTCAGTGACCCAGGTTATCACCTATGAAGATGAGAAAGAGGGACATCCTGGGACATCTACTTCTTTACATGTAGAGATTATGGTTGTGTCTAACCTCTAGTATCGGGGAAGCTTCGTTACTGGGAAAGGGAAGAGCAGTGCCTGACAAGGTAAACAGATCCACTCTGCAGCAGATTCTGATAATCTGGGAAACACCTCAGTGATCTGACGCCAATTTGGCCTCTCCATATTCAGAGACAAAACAATTTGATTTTTTTCAGTTGTGCTGTTTCAGGTTACTCATCTGCGTTTTTGAGCAAATAGCTATCACGGTGCTGTCTGTTAGAAATACGATGTGAGTTCCACATGCGATATTAAATTTTATAATATCTACATTAAAAAGTAAAAATAAACAGGTGACATTAATTTTACTAACATATTTTATTTACTATAACACATCCAAAATACTCTCGCTTTGATATATGTTACTAGCCACAAATCGAGGTCTTACTAACCACGTGTGGCAGTGTCCACAGTACTGGATCAGTGCGCCACCTCAATTTGCAGTGCCTGCTCTTTTCTAAGCCACACAACACATACAGATACAAAAACTGAACAGAATCTTGAATCCTATGATACTCAGGTGTTATTTTTTTAAAACCATCACATGAATTCTTCACCTTTCTAGAAAGAATGGGCTTTAATTATGCCTCACCAAATTGTAAAGTCAGCTATTTGAAGGATGAGTGTTGTCTAGTAATAGAGTGCTGTTTCAATGGGACAATTTATTTTTTGTCAGAAACTCTCATGTAACTCTGGTTGTCTCACATCCAAAGGGTTCAGTGAGCAATCCATGATTTTTGGAGAAGTCTGTTTGAGTCATTCTCATCTATTCCCTTGAGAAATGTAGTATTATCTGACATTGCTTGACCTCCGTTGTCTGAAATTGTGCAAGACACTGGGAAATTCCAGAGCCCTCCCTTGAAGGAGAAGAAAGGAGAAATTCAGAAACAAAACTTAGAAGTTTGCCAAAGTATAGACAATGAGGTTTCTTGCCATGAAAGAAATGGACAGCCCTATTACTTCTGTTCAGTTGTATGAGTCAACCAAGGCATTTTCTGGTTAATTTCATTTAAATGAGAAAAGTAATAGCATAATGTGTTAAATTTTTGGTTTTTATATTTTATAATGTCCTTTTAAGTTTCAATTATTTGTTTTCATTAGTTTTTAATAGTGCTTTTAAATAAATATCTTTCTAAAAAGTAGGAAACTAAGTTAATTCCAAAGGTGAAACCACTTGTAGGAGTTTGTAAGGATACCAGACCTTCTAAGCTTTTTATTATTCATAGGTTAAACAATGACACATGATTTTTTTCCCCATTCCAGAAAATTCTGTCAACATGAAAGCATCCAGTATCCTTGGCTAGTCCCTGGTCAGAGGTGTGTTTTCTCATCCGAGATTCCAGCTTCCTGTTTCTATACAGGTTTGGGGCTTTCTAACATTAACAGCCATCTCCTAATGACCGTATGTATCTACATACAGCATTTTCAAGCAAAATGAGGAATTAAACAGAATTTCTGTCATAAATCTGATACTACCAGTAACATGAAAATAGATAATCTCATTACAGAAGAGTAGCTATTATAGTCCAGTCCACTGCCCATATAGAGTTCTTCTTAGCTGGGCAATACAACAGAAAGAATTGAAGAAATCATAAGTTCAGATAAAATGTCTAATTTTTGAGTTGTATCTCTTACCTAATGAAAAGCTCAGGAATCCCTTCAAATTGATACGAAGGGGAAAGACTTGTACAAAGTAAGACAAAGCCGTCTCCCTTGACAAGCTGGGATCAAGTGATTATCTCTGTCTGTGTAATAGTGCTCTCCACATAGTGTGCATGTACGTATATGGGTTTGTTAAAGGAAACAAACACACAATTATTTATATCCAGCCTATCCTCCAGTCCATGCCATCCACACAATGCTGGAAAACTTCAGAATTATACCCATGGCCAAAGGCATTGCCAGGACTTTTGCCTATTCTAATAGCCCAGCCCACCCCGGGCTTAGGAGCCTGCTGGGCCAGTGCACCTAAAGGTCCTGGGGTCACTCTGAAGACTTCAAGTGCAGATAGAGGCCCAGGAGCCATTGTACCCCTCCTGAGAGGGTATATGTCTGCCTTCTTCCTGCCACCACCTCTGCTGCCCAAATAGTTTATTTTAGTTAGAGTTTAATGCTCACTGTGATTCTAGGAGCTGCTAAAATAAGCCCGAAGCCCTTATTAGCTCAATCCTAATGGCCATTTGTTACTGATTTTTTTAAAATTGAGATTGTTCCTATGTCATCTCAGGTTTGAGAAGAAGCAAAAAACCTACAACAGGACCAACTTGAATATTAATGAGAATGCAGCCTTGGCCACAACCGTGGACAACTCTCAGACCAGCATGTGCTTCCTGGTGGTCTTCTTGCTAGAGAAGGCTTACTGAAAAAGATCATTTGTTATAGTGAGGTTGCAACAATTTATGTTGTCTTCTGATCATTATCGTTTGTCATTCTGGGTAAACACTAATACTTGAGGGCTGAAAAGTTCAGTTTATACTCTGTGACAAATTCTGTGAATGGTGCCTGTGACTTTGAGAACATTTAGGTTCTAATATGAGGTCGGACAATTAAGGTTGCAAACTCATTCTAGAAAAAATGCTGCATACCTTACTGCTGAGTACCACTTTAGTCACCTTTGAATTCTTCCCCTTGGGAAGCTGTGCCCCAATACCAGAGCCTACTCCATCCTTAAAAGCAATTTTAGAACTCTCTCTAGAATGACCATCAGAGCTGTTATCAAAAGGCACAAAACACACAGCAAGACACTGCCCCATGTTGACATGGACACAGCTGTGAGACACTGACTGCCACTGTTAGAAAACCTTATTGGTGGCACCTGTGGCTCGGAGGAATAGGGTGGCAGCCCCATATACTGGAGGTGGCGGGTTCAAACCTGGCCCTGGCCAAAAACTGCCAAAAAAAAAAAAAAAAGTTCTGAAATTGCTTTGAAGGCTAGACCAGGTCCTGGAGTCAAGGCAGTTTCCCAAGGAGAGCAAGTACTTCCCACGTGAGTGCACTGAAATTCAGCAAGGAGCAAGGCAGCGTTTGTTTCCAGGATGAGTCTGTGAACTTGCTTGTCAGACCTCATACTACTCATAATTCAACCTATGTCAAAAGTTCGGAAAAGTTATAAAATTTTATACATTTCATAGACATCCTTCTAATCATATTTTTGAAAGTCATAGAAATAAGTAAGCACTGGAAAATTCTAAATCTTAGCACCCATGTACTAAGTGTGATAATTAGTATTTATTGAGTACATAGCCTTCGTTTGTTTATTCATCCTGTATTAATTAAGGATCTGCTATGTGCCAGGCATTCTGCTAATTACTCTTATTTATTGGTGGATAAACTAGCTATATTCTGGTGTCAGGACTTGGTAGATGTTAGTTCTATTTACTGAGATGGAAAGGGGATAAAAATGAAACAGAGTTAGTCAGGGAAACAAGTGTTTAATTTTACATGTTAGTTTTATGAATACTGAATATTCAGCTAGAACTGAGTGAGTCTTAAGCTTGAAGGAAGCTTTCCAGATTAAAGTAGATATACTGGGAGGGTGAGCACACGCCTGGCATTACTGTGCTCCTACCCTTACGTAGCTTAATGAGGTGGCACTTTTAATTGTTCCCCTTTCACAGATGGTAAGACTGATGAGTAGGGACCTGGAAGGTTAAGAAACTTGCACAAAGTCACATCATCATTCACAGGTGACAGAATGTAGGTTTACATTTAGGTATCCCTTACTACAAAATCTCTACTGCTAACTATTTCTATTAACATTTTACATAACAGTTTACAGCAATTTCAGGACTCAGCCTTTTAGCTAATTGGGAGCTGGATCCTACTCCATAAAAGACAAGGTGGCCGCTAAAAGGACAATGACAGGTTTAGTGAAAATGGTACTTGAGTAAAGGAAGGATGGGGGATTACAGAAGATGCTGCCTGGGCTTGGACTTGAATGGCATCTGGAAAGTTTTAGGAGGTTGCTGTAAAGGTCCACATTTACCTTCTTTGCTGGTGGGCTTTTCCTCCAGGAAAAGGCAGGTTTCCATAAGCAATCGAACTGCCTCCTCCTGTTTCTCTTTTAAAGAGGCTCCAAAGATCCGGGCCTTGTCTTTTGTTCTTGCAGTACGAAAGTTTTCCTTTTCCTCTTCCTTTATTTTCACCACATTTTTATCTGACAAGGTATTCAAAAATTCGTTGATGACATCTTTGCCCAGGGCTTCCAACATCTTAAGTGGATTCTTGTTTTCTTGGTTGTTCTCTGTCAGAAATGAAAGATTCCTTCAATACTAGGAACAACTTATAGAGATTCCCTATCATTTTGGACACAGCTCTCTAAAATGTGAGAGAACTCTGACAATACATTTTGTTTTACCGTGTCCCCAGCAAATGACATACCTTTTTGTTATTGTTGTTATTGTTGAGACAGTCTCACTATGCTGCCCTTGGTAGAGAGCTGTTAAGTCACAGCTCACAGCAACCTTAAACTCTTAGACTCAAGTGCTCTTGCCTCAGCCTCCCGAGTAGCTGGGACTACAGGTGCCTGCCACAGCACCTGGCTGTTGTTAGAGATGAAGTCTTGCTCTGGCTAAGGCTGGTCTAGAACCCGTGAGCTCAGGCAATCCACCTGCCTCAACCTCCTAGAGTGCCAGGATCACAGGCATGAGCCACACACCCGGCCTGACACACCTTTTTTTATTGTACCTGCAGAATTCTCTTACCCCATAAAATTCATACCAGGCTGTGTGCAACAATTCCCATGTAAGGTTTATGATAGCTCTCACCTTTCTCCGGTGGCAGTGGGCCTGACTAATTTCACAGCCATTAATTGTGTTCACACTTCTCTTTCTGTGGCTCACTCTCCATGATGATGAGGAACTACCTGAAATGTGAGCTCCGTGAATGTCCATGTTCCTGGGCAGACAGGAAATTCCTCCTGCTGTAGCTTCTTTCCTCATCTCTGTGTTTAGTTTCCTTTGAATCCACTATGTCTTTAAATTTGCATTTTTACATGTGGATATCCAGTTCTCCCAGCGCCATTTATTAAATAGGGACTCTTTCCCCCGGTGGAAGTTCTTGTTTGGTTTATCGAAGATTAGGTGGCTGTAAGTTGTTGGTTTCATTTCCAGGTTTTCTATTTGATTCCAAATATCTATGTCTCTATTTTTGTGCCAGGACCAGGCCGTCTTGACCACTATGGCCTTGTAGACTGAAATTGGACCCGCACCTTTCTCCACTTGCAAAAATTGATTCAAGATGGACTTAAATTTAAGGCATGAAATGATAAAAATTCTCTAAGAAAGAATAGGAAAAACACTAGATGATATTGGCATTGGGAAAGACTTTATGAGGAAGACTGCCATGGCAATAGCAACAATACCAATAATAAACAAATGGGATTTAATGAAACTGAAAAGTTTCTGTACAGCCAAGGAGACAACAACCAAAGTAAATA